AGCTTTAATTTGATGTGTGTCTGGAACACCTTGCAGAGTTGTGAGTATTTTTCCTGAATTTCTGAAGTGGGGGCATTTATCATTGGGGTCTAATAATCTATGGAAATTTATTTACTGGTCTGCAACCCTAGGCTGACGAGGGATATACTATATTGTTTTCTTACTTGTATGTGGCTTACTGCTGTAACAGTGCAGGGAAACATGTTCAGTCAGTGTTTGTATGCGTGAGTGTTCAAGGAAGGAACCAACATCGCTCCGGGACCATCACGTATGGATGATGAACGATGAAACAATACATGGGCCACATTCCAAACTGGGTCAAGGGATTCCATGAACAGCTGCTATTGCCGGATCCTATGGGGGTTCACTCGACCTTTTTGGGGGTCAAAGCGTACCTGCCTCCAATCTGGCAGTATTACTGTTCTGAATTGAAGCCCACTTCTGTTTGTGCTGGTCCCAGAGGGCCAGCCTAGTGCCCTCTTTGACTGACTGACTCACTGATTAGCCGACTGACTCCCCCACGTGAATTAGACTTGCTTTAGTCTCTCACCGACTGACTGCCCACTTGTGAATTAGACTATACCTATCTCACTGACTGAATGTCACTTGTGTATTATTACCTATCCCACTGACTGTCACTTGTGAGGGAGACTTGCTTTAGTCTCTCACTGACTGACAGACTGGTTGCCTATCTCACTGACTGACTGTCACTTGTGTATTAGACTGGTTGCCAAACTGACTGACTGACTGTCACTTGTGTATTAGATTGGTACTGAATGTCACTTGAGAATTAGACTACACTAACTGACCGTCATTTGTGAATTAGACTAGTTACATATTTCCACCATGTTGCCACTACAACTTATTCAACGAACTTTTTAACCATTCTCAGGCCAGTTGAACACTGTTATGTGTGCTCTGGAAGTTAACTAGGTTTATCTAGTCTTGTTCACCAGCGTGGTCTACACTCTACAGCAACATTCTATAATGCACAATTTTATGTTGCGCATAAAATATGCGGTCTCATAAAACTCGACGATTGACGTTTAATGTGTTTTGACACATTTTAACATTATGTGCAGATTGATTGGGCCTCTGTAATTCGGTTATTCCCGTCAGGTTGAAATTGTGCCAGCAACTTTTGAACACTAGGCCTACATGTAATTCCAATTCCATGCATCATTATTCCCGTATGTTGTTACAATCAAGAACCATACCAGCAATATTGAACAAGTCGGAACAGTATGCCACTTAATTCAGTGGCCCTGAAAAAATGAATCATCTGCCAACATTTTTCTGACTTGAATTCCTCAAAACCGCTCTATAGACACCAGCTCGCAAACCTAAAGAAAACTGCGCAGAGAAGACAATGAAGAAATTACAGTCAATGGGCCGTATTCACGAGTCGGACATATTGAATTGAAAGTTAGGTAAAATCTTAATTTTTTGAACTTGCGAAGAGAAATGAAAGCAACTGAATTTATAATCGATTCCAGTCTGCCTCAATAAATAATTTCAAATTTGTCATTAAACATTCCCTAATGTTTAAATCCATATTAAAAAAAAAACAAATGACAGTATAAGGCTGCATTGTGCCTGCATAAATAGTCTGGCGCCATCCCATTCAACAGTTAACAATTAATGAAATACCGTTCAGGTAACTCGACAAAAATGGCCAACTCGTGAATAAGGCCCATTTACAAGTGGGAGGAAAACCCCAGAAGAATATTCTGGGGCCGTAAACCCACGGAATCAGGTAGGGAATGAAAACCCAATCCACAAGTGAACCGGGGCAGGAATCGAACCCGGGCCATAGAAGTGGAAGGTGAGGAAATTAATGAAATCAGGTAGGGACTGAAAACCCACTCCACATGTGGACCGGTGCAGGAATCGAACCCGGGAAATTGAGGTGCATGGAAGGCGAGGAAAGAACCACTGCACCACCAACCTGACAACCCTAATTTACATCCTTTTGATCCGTAATTGACCAGCAATATTTCACTATACATAATGAACAAGCAGGGAACAGAGCGCGTCCGAGTCTGTATGATGATTAAGAATCCCAACAGCCCACCCCCGGCAGAATTGATTTCTGGACTATCCGCTACGGCACTTGTTATGTTGTATCATGCAGCAGCCATAGAACGACTGCTTCACTGGTCACTGAATGAAGAAAAGTGAAGAAAAAAGAAAAACGAAGTATGCAGTTCGCACTGCAAAAACTGCTCTGTTAACTGGGTGCATACTTATGTTCCCCAATACCGATGTTCCCCGAGAAGCCTTACCCTAACCCTATCCTATAGCCCTAACCCTAATCCTTATATAAGGATTTCGGGGAACATCGGTATTGGGGAACCGTTGAGGAACATCGGGTAGACCCCGTGTTAACTAACACATAGAACCTAGTTGATGTCTTTTGCACATTATTTTTTGCTGATCCCAGAGGCCTTCTTCGTTCCTATCTCACTGACTGACTGATTGACTGATTGATTGTCACACGTGAGCCGGGCAGTGTTATCGTATATGATTACCCCGTAACGCCAATGAATGGGCTAAACTGGTCCATTGTGTAGACCAGAAAAGACCTCCAGTGAGCAGCCATGCTGAATCAATAATTAATGCTATTTGTGTGATCTCTGGGACCAGCTTTACTAGGCCTGCGCAGTATTGTTGCAGTGTGAGATTGCACTCTAAAGGTACGAAACTCGCATGATGCTTTGGTTCGTTAGTAGAAATTTATTCTCATATGGGTGAGGTATCCGTGCCGAAGGCACCATACCGCGCTACCTGTGCTTACTCCTGAATTATGAACGCTCTTGAAATGGAGGCATTTTTCTCTAGGACACTCCGTATCTGTTTTCGAAATCTAGAGCACCCGGACGTTACACCGCGCATCCATATTACACAATCATAACAACTAAACAGGGTACACACGGGTCCATAATAGCAATAATAGCAATTGGCCCCATTCTTCAAGCCGAAATATTCTGTTTGTGTGTCAAGGTGACGTACGTAAACGGTTGCCCTCGAGGGCTTTCCATGCAGTGTAGTAGTACAGCTGTTTTAAAGCTCAGTGGCTTTGCGTATACTTAAAGTTGATCGCATCACAACATAACGCATAATTCGTGTCAGTGAACGCTAAAAGGTCGTCAGTGCAAACTGAAAGGCATATTAGGATCATTTGCTTTCGTTCATTTTGATCGTTTCCAATGATAACACCACTCGAAATCCAAAGAAAAATGTTCAAAGCTAACCTGTTGAAATTTCTGCTCAGTGGATCATTTTTCGAGAAAACAGTGAAAACCATGCACATCACGAAACATGATTTCGTCAATAGCATACTCTTTATTCCCAAAAAAAATCGCCTACATTTCTTGATTTCTTCTGAATGACAGCAAGCCAGACGGAATAATTTCACTGGGTGTTTTGTTTTTAGTATACCAGTACGATCTTTAATCCAAGTAACTTGTTGATATTATAATTCGGTAGGATACTTTTGGGATAAATGCAAACAGTGATCCTATGCTCGACAGGGACAGTTGGGCCCAACTCATCAAGTCATCATGAAAATGAATGAATGAAGAAGAAGAAGATCCTATAATATGCCAGCCCTTTAGAAGTAATGGACATCATAAGCAAACATACAAAAACGAAACTGCCAAAATAGTACGAAATATTCTATTTGATTGCAAGTAAATAATACTATCCAGCATCCTGTGAAATCGTTGTGCCTAGTATGCTGTCATTTTCAAGCAAAGAGGAATTGCCATCATTTCCTCGCGATGGTTAGGAACTAAACCATCGCGAGAACAAAAAAACATCTTTTTTCAAAGACTGCTCTCAGTTGACCAAATTTACTTTTTAGTTGGCAATCGGTTCCATATCCGTGAATGGTAATTTCCCGAGTGACAAACTGCGGATCATACCACAAGAGGGTGCTGCAGGTCAAAGCGTTTGCATAAACATTTTAAAACGAAGATGCGTTTTCACTGGTTCCTAGGAAAAGAAGTATATCTACTGAGCTGAAATTTGTACAGGTTGGTTTCTTTTTAATAACCTGCTTCGGCTTTACTGTATCGTTGTCCCTTGAAAAGGTAACAGTTTTTGTGTACATTATCTTTGAAACAGTCACTCCGTGGTTGCAGGTCATGCCTAAAATTTCCAAATAACAATTTGAAAACTAGATTCGCGTTTTGACTTCCTACCAAATTCTGTTAGATCAAAGTGCAGTAGAATCGATTTATGAATATTAAAAAAATTGACCTCTTTTCCGCCAGCGTATGCCCTATGAGACTTATATACAGGATGAGTCAGAAAGATAGGTACCTGATTTAAAAAATATATATATTAAAACTATTTTTTGAAGGCAGGGGGTTGAAAATAGTACATAACTGGAAAGCCCTGTTACTTAGCTGTCATTTGGTGAATTTCTGGACAACAGGGCACGACAAATTTTCTGAAAGTTACAATGTTTCGAAACAAAAAATACGGGGGGGGGGGAACAAAGTTGTCGGAACACCCAAAATGCAAAGACGTGTCAGTTTTACTACAGGCTAGGCGTGAATCACATACGCACACAGATGGAATCCTTAATCATTCCCAACTATATAAAGGAATAACAAAATGAGACGTCTTGGTTTCAGAAAATTGTATTCATGTCAAAATGTGTGTAATCTATATCACCTCTGCAATAATCAGAAACAGTGTTGATTAAACAATACAAGTAAAGAAACAAAGCCTGACATTGTGTAAGGTTTAAAATGCCGGGGTGTGTTTTAGCATGATTCAATGATCATGTATGGACAAAATTGATGTTCATGGAATTTGGGGGAAAAATCTCCGTATCCATCTCCCGAACCACAAAAGCAAAATTGATGAAACAAAAATTAGGTGTATGTAATAAAACCTTGTACAAATGTAGTTTGTGTTTCGCTCTTTAAATTGTTTATAGTTGACGGTTGACAGTTTAAGTTGACGGTTTTTTCTCTCTTTTTTTACAGGGTACCCATCTTTCTGACTCACTCTTACGAAGCTTATGATGGAAGATCCATCTGTGTGTCAGTAATAGTGCAAGGGCAAGGACGATATCGCAATAACAAAGTCCATCCAGGCTAGTGCCTGTAGAGCTGAAAACGACCTGGATCAACATGGGATATACGGTAAATAGCCTATAAGATAGTGGACGATCCCCCATGGGATATCCCCAATGGGATATAATGTTATTGGTCGTATATTATTATTGGATATATCCCCAATGGGGTATAATATTATTGGTCGTGTTGCGGGCATTTATAGTCCCTGGACACGAGAATGACCCGGCCTGGATCGACAGAGATACGGACTATGCATTTACTATCTCCCATGTGATCATGTACATCTGTTGCACGCGTTGCGCTATCAATTGCAAATCCGAGTAATAATCGTGAATTTGCGAACTTTATAGGACACCCGGCCGTCCACATGAACACGTAGTGAACATTGGTGACTGCTCTATGTTCGGACACTCCTATGTTCGGACACCCCTATGTTCCGACTACCCCACCTTATAATAACAATAAACTGTTCTTATAAAGCGCATTTTACACGGGGTCCCAATGCGCTGAACAATTAACAGAGAAAACACAAACATTATATATTATTTGCAGTGAACAGATGGGTTTTAAGATTAGCTTTGAAAGTGACCAGGGTTGGGGCATCCTTGATGTGATTGGGTAGTTTGTTCCAGAGGGTGGGGGCTGTAGATGAAAACGCTCGCTGACCGTATGACCTTGTCCATGTTGAGGAGCAGGCGAGCAGGGATTGTGAGCTTGATCGAAGATTTCTGCGAGGTTCGTATTTATGGATTAATTGCTGGAGGTAAGTAGGGGCGATACGATGGAGACATCTGTATGTTAGGAGAAGGGTCTTGTAGATTATCCTCCTCTTGACTGGGAGCCAGTACAGATTACGCAGAATAGGTGATATGGGTTGATGGGGCTTCGAGAGAGTGACTAGTCTTGCAGCTGAGTTTTGGATGCGTTTTGTGAGTCTGGTAGTCCTTGAAGTAAACTGTTGCAAAAATCTAGGCGACAAGTTATGAAGGTATGAACACAAGCTTTTCTGACACCCGACACCCCTATGTTCCGACAACCTGCACATAAGGTGGTGTTACTGTGAGGGTTAGGGTTAGGGTTAGGGATATGGAAAGGAATAAGAATATGTGCAGTCGGAACATATATTTGTCGGAAATAGGGGTGTCGAAACATAGGTTGAGTAATCGGAACATAGGCGTGTCGAAACATAGGGGTGTCGGAACATAGAGGTGTAACCGTTAAGATCAATTTATCATTAGGTCCACGTGGTTCGTTCATGATTCAACGGTGCCTAAAACGAAGGTGATAAAAAACATCCTCTATAGGGCGAGTCAAAAAGAAAGTGACCTGGATTCATGATTTTTTTTTCTTCACTTAAAAAGCAATTAAATTTGACACACCTGTGATCAGCAAGTATTAAACGAGCATGTTCCTCCACTCGTGAAATTAAAAAAAAGAAAGAAATCGATCCATGCTACAGCTGTCCGTGTGGAATGCCATAAGTTTGAAGCCATTCAGCCGAGTGAGAACCAGAGATTACAAAATTCAAATGAGATTCTAATATTTTGAGTCAAGACTGACACATTTTTACCGTCAGATTTGGTGTTTTGTATTATGAGGAACGAATCAAGTCATTTTTTCCTGCAATGATAACTGTGATTTGTGTATGTTTTCCTTTGCAAGTTTTCGTTCATTCATGGAGGTGGGAAGACGTCCATGTTTCATTGTATTTAATGGGTATTCATCAGCTCGTAGAACGGTAAACAGTCAGTTTTTGACAGCTGAATTGTGTGATCTTTTCGTTAAAATAAACATAACTATATGTGAATTACGTGAATTTTCACAGTTATAGGCCTATACTAGTCAATAACATGTACTTTATCCCTGTGTTATTTTTATGAAACTGAGCAAGTCACATATTGTTTAAAATATGTTTTTCTAATTCGGTTACTTTCTTTTTGACTCGCCCTGTATTTAAAGTGTATTCATCAATGCGTATTGGTAAATTATCAGTGGTGGACAATCAGCTGAATTTTGTGATATTTGTATTAAAAATAGAAATAACTTGTGAACAGAGTGTGCAAATTACGTGACATTTTCAAAATCACTCGTCAATAACATTTTATTCCCAATGTTATTTTTATGACATGGAATGAGTCACATATTGTTAAAATATTTTTTTTTTCGAATTCGGTCACTTTCTTTTTAACTCGCCCTTTTTTTTTAAGGGTAGGCCTATTCGTCAATGCGTATCGGTATTATGATCAGTGGTGGGCAGCTGAATTTGTGATTTGTATTAATATATAAATAACTTGCGAATGGTTACACCTCTGTGTTTCGACACCCCTATATGTTCCGACTACTCAACCTATGTTCCGACAGTCTTTGTTCCGACACCCCTAGGGGTTTTGGAACATAAGGGTGTCGGAACATAGGGGTGTCGGAATATAGGTTAAGTTGTCGGAACACTGTCGGAACATAGAGCAGTCACCCTTGCGAATAGTGCAAACTACGTGACATTTTCACAGTTACTGGTCAATAACATGTACTTTATTCCTGTGTTATTTTTTTTTATTAACAATTTTAAAATATTTTCTCTAACCCGGCCAGCATCTTTTTGACTCACCCTGTAGTTTTAGCCTCTCGGATGTCCGGTCTGAAATTGAAAAAATATATATCCCTATCCATCTGTGCAGTTACTGACCTGTAAAATTCGCCAGGCACCGTGAATAATCATGCAAGACAGTTTACTGATTTATTGTGAATTGGTCCCCCTTACACGAAAGAAAATATTTAAAAAAATAAAGAAATAAAAAAACAAACAAACAAAAAACAAAAAAAAACCGAGCGAGCTTTTAGATAAACTCCAACAGTTCTTCCAAGGTTTACTTTTTCAAAGCACCTGTGCGCCATATTGTGCTTCAAAACGATGGTCATGAGTCAATCGCTTTAATTCGCTTCTCAAAAGGTTGGGGACATAGGCTACCTTGAACAGAACTAATGCGAGCGCGAAGCCCTAACAGCTTGAGGTGCGGAGCCCGCTAACAAGTGCCCCGAAAAAACTTTGGATTCTAGATGCACTCTGGTGCAATTTGAGGCAATTATTTCTGACCATTTCAACCAAAGTTTGTTTAGCAAAAGATCATCATTTAAACATCATTTTCGAGTTAGTACCGGAGTCTTACTGGAGTTGGAGTCATCGAATTAGCTATTTTGAGCTATCGAATCAATTTTTTTGGGGGGGGGGGAGGCCTCCCCCCTTCCCCCACCGATTGACGCCCATGCTAATGTATGCATGTAGTTTGCTAAAGTATTACGTAAGAACCCTTTGACGTGTGCGAAGCTAATGTCAGTGTGGCCTCTCTTTCAACTCTCGATCATGCAAAGGGTCTTTAGGTTAGGGGGCGTGAGTGAGGCGTTACCCTTTGTTGTAATTATGATATTGATGTATCGGCACAGTCATTTAATTCATGGTAACGGGCGGTTGTAATCCTAATGTTACAACCTAGTACTATAGCAACCCATTCTGAAATGTAGTTTTGCTTTCTGTTTCTTTGCAATTGCGTAACAAAACCGAATACCTTGCTACACCATGCACGCACACAATAAATTACAATGCTTTGATCTGTTTTAAAAACCTGCCGTACTTCTTTTGCAGCATGATGTGCTCGCGTCATGGAACAGTCGCCGCCACGAACCGCGCAGTAAAAACTGTGCTCGTATTTTGATACCCCGACCCGAATATACGCGGGAAAGTGTTTACCCAATAGTGACGTCACGAGTTGTATTTGTACAAGTAAAACCCAGTGGGCGATAGGAGTCACGATAGGTATCAGCTGAGTGACGTGGTTTCATGGAAGCAGAAAACACAATAGAACTCTATGGATTATATTGTGTAACAAACAAATTTACTTTGAAATTGATGAACTCTCGATCTAGTGAATAGCAATCGTTACAACAAGTTTACTGAACTCTCGAGATCGTTCGCAAAAACTTGAAAATTGGTCAAAAGTCCTGCAAGCATTAATTGATGACTACATTATTCCTAGAAGCCCATCCTGCTTATTCAATCTTTTTTTCAGCTTGTTAACCAGCCCACTGGACCATTTTTTTTTAATCTGTGAAGCAGTAGTTCAAACATCATGAGCAACACGGGAACTAGAAAGCCACGGTCTATAATTTTTAACCCTAAAAGGGCCGGGGCGGAATCCGCCCCCCCCCCCCTCGACTTGTTCCGCGATAGCCTTGAAAAATGAATTTTCCCATATACGTCGTGTACACAGAGCAGAATTACCATTCCTACATATGAATAATTAATTAGCCATAATTCCAAAACCCTATGACCTATACTCATGAAATTTCTTGGGTGTGTTCATGATGAGTTGCTCTATGCATGTACCGAGTTTCAAAATTTTTCGTCACTCGATGGCCGAGATCTTGGGGGGGGGGGGCGGAATCCGCCCCCCCCCCCCCCTCTCGGCTGAGTGATGGTCAAAATAACTCGGCTCTTTTAGGGTTAATCAGATTCGTTGATTAATTATGCAAGACAACCGCATCTTGACCTCTAGATTTTGACCAATCCGCGGGCGCTTTCTATATCGGGTCTTCGGTCATTCACCTGTTGCGCGTTATAGACACGGACACGCGCTCTGTATCATGTTACGCGATATGCGCCCGCGGTTGTTGTTGTATTACAAAACACAGCATTATTTTGAATTGACCAATCAAACTATTAGTCCTGATTTGGGAATAAAATGACGTCACGATTTAGTCGACTCCGATTGGCTGGCGCGCGGCTTGCATCATTCTGCATGCTTAGCCATATCAGACGTTATACAGGAGACTTGGCCCCGTGGATAACGGGTGATACTCGGACTAGTACAACACGTGTGGCGAACGCAATAAATGAGCATTTAATTTTTAACACCCACTAAAAATTTAAACAACTCGGTTTTTTGTGTTTTTTTTTTGGGGGGGGGGGGGGGAGGGGGATTGCCAATGGCGTCACCAGGGGGAAAGGGGGGGGGGCACTTCCACCACCTCCCCGATATACAGCCCAATGTACTCAACATAATACCTCCGTTTCA